TGTCTTCTGTTTACATCAGTAGTAGACTTATAGTTTTCATGATTAGTTATTAATTTACTGTAAATTTTTTTATACAAACCATACAAATTATGCAAATCATAAAAATGGTATGCTGCAAGAATTGAAATGTTAGAATGACAACATGCGTTCAAATGAATATTAATAATGATTTATAATCTATTCATAAACAATGAGATGATAAAGAAAGTTTAATACAAATAATCTATGCAAATATGATATGCCTATATGGATGTTCAACTTCTTTATAAAGCTAACTCAACTGGTTTAAATTTTAGCGGTGTTGTTTTATGCACTTTTTCATTAATTCAAATGGGTGGAATTTTAAAGTTTTAAGTTTTCATTATAGCAATCCTCATTAGAAAATTTGCTGGAATAGTTTTGCTTTTCAAGTCTCTCTTTATGAGTTGGGAAGCTAAGCAACCATGAACTAAAAATAAAATCAATTTCAGGTTGATTTGTAGAAGTAACATCATTAGAATATTCTTCAGGAGTTTAGATTAACTTGCTCAATTGATGTATCATCTTTAGTTGGCTTGAGTTTCTAGCTTTCAAATTCTGATTTCACTTTATCAGTTTGCTCTATTGGCTTATCATCTATAATGGATATGTTTTGTTCACTTCCATACTCACAGCTATATTCAATTTTGATTTAAAATTAGGTTATAAACTCAATTCCCATTAGAAGTTAAAATTCATAATCAAAATTAGATTCAGTTTCTATTCGTGGTTTAGGTTCAATTTCAGTTTAAAATTTAATCTCTATTTGAGATTTTGATTTAAATTTAATTTTACTTTTAATGTCATTTTAATTATTTTGTTTGTTTTAGTTTCAATATATTTTTGTGGTAAGAGTTTGTTTGTGCATGCTTAGGTTGTTACATTAACGTGATTTGTACGATTATCCTTATTTCTTGTGCTTTTTGAATTTCGTTGGATTTTTTTTTTACGGGATAGTCCTAAATTCTTTGTTATGTTTAGTATTTTTTTGTTCTGCAAATTTCCAGCGTTTGAGTGCTAGTTTCTTGTTTTTGTGGTTTTAGGCATTTATCTCCAGTAGGTTCAGCTGCCTTTTGCTATGATATATGTGGAATTTTGATGGTCTTCCTTGCAATTTTGAGTTAGTGTGCTTCTATTTCTGCTACTTGCATATGGCTATTTGCAGCTTGAGGCTCTTTTGTTATTGCTATCAGCGGTGCGGCTTGGGCAATTCTCTTTTGTTATTGGAATTTATTTGTGTGGTAATAGTTATATGCAAATTTTGTAGCTGCTATGATCGATGGATAAGGGAATTTCATTGGTGATTTTTAATTATAAATTAGTGTCCCGTGCATGCAGGAATATCAATTTGGTTATGGATAGAATTCTTGTTGATGTGTATTCCTTCGGGTTTTAGGAGTCAATTTTAGTGAGATTTAAAGTTTTATGAGAAAAGTTATCTCATTTTACTTTGCATTTGACTTTTTTGTTGTTCCAAATTTTGTTTTTTGATTTGATCATATAAATGATTTTACTTAAATTCGATAGAATTTGGGTTTCGCCAAGTACAGGAATTATAAATCTTTCTTGTGGCTTATTTTATTTTGATTTCCTGATCATTGTTTCTTGTAGATGGCCGCAAGCTTTTTTTCTGGATTAATGTCTTCATATTTTTTTATTTTCATCAGAAATAGTGAATAATTCTTTAAGACTAAAGGTTTGTAAAATTTATGATTTCTGAGGACGTTTTATGTAGTTTTAGGCATTCTACCTCACTCATAGTCTTTATAAAGGTACATTATCATGTCTATATAAAAGCACTTAATGTAGTATCATTATGATTTGGTGAATGAAATGAACCACATGTGATGTGAAACATGTAGGAATTACTTGAGAAATTACAATGAGTAATTGATCAAAATGTGTCAATATAGAATTATTGCTTGCAATAAAGATAGATTTCGGAATTCAAAATATTTAACTTGCTTATGCAATAAAGTGCTATTGAGATTAGCCAAACAATTCAATCAAAAATCCAAAGACAATGGTAAATGTTATGTGCTCGTAACAAAACCCAACTCTTAATAACAAGAAGTTCACCTTAAGCACCTTCTCACTCTTTCTCTCTTAGACTTTAGCGGAGAAAGACGATCCATACAAGGAAGGAGATTACCACTATGAAGATGGAGCCAAAGACCTTCATTGATGGAGAGGTAGCCAGTGATGGAGGGGGTAGTGTGGGCTCCGAAAATTCGGCCCCGGCCTCCAAGAGCTCTCTCTCTCTCTCTCTCTCTCTCTCTCTCTCTCTCTCTCGGGATGGAGGAGATCGGACAAAGGGAGGAGGTCGGCCGGCTGAGGGAGTTTGGCCAAAGAAGCTCGTAAAAAAGGGAGAAAGTTACGATCACAGTCGAGCAAGCTCTGTTCTTGCACCCGACCGAAATGCTGTAACTTTCGGTCCGAGTGGAAGGGAAAGTCGGCGAAGGAGCTACGTCGAACAGCCACTGAGGAGTTGGAGAAGGTAGCGCCCAAGGGAGAAAGGTAATTTCTCAGCCCGCGAGCTCCCGTTCTGCTTCCGATCAAATTGTCGCAGCTTCCGATCCGTCCAGGAAGAAGAGAGAGCGGGCGATGTCGGGGAAGAGCAGATGAGCTTCGGAGAGCTTGGGATTGGAGAGAGGGGAGCTCGGTCGCTGGAGAAGGAAAAGTGCGAATGAGAGCCATTCGCCCTCGTTTTAACGACGCGAAGTCGTGCGGTCTCGACGTGCGAAGAAACGACGTCGAGTCGTGCGAGGTATGGCGCCAACGTGGGGAGCGACGTGCATCGTGGCTTCGCAGGCGAGCAGGTGAGGATTCGCCATTTTTTTTGTTTTTTCGGTATACAGGTCAACAGGTAGTGAGTGACCGACGATTATCCAACGGTCCGGAAGGATGTGCTCTTCAATAGATAACGTTAGTTGGTATATGATGCGGTCGATGTATCCGTTGATAGTCTCGTCGTTGCCAAAGTACACGTCAAAGAACGGTGATATCAGAATATCCGTCCTTCCTTGCTCGTCAAAAATAAATCCGTGGTCAATGTCGGGATCAGCCATGCAAGGACATAGGCGTATCGTGGTGGTGTTGCGGTGGGGGAGCCGCCACTTGAGAGGGGCGGCCAAGAGGAAGAGGAAAGGGGCGGGGGTGTGGTCTCGGGTAGGAGGAGGTGGAGATGGCGCGGCTAGTTCTAAGTTAGGGTTAGGAAGAATTATTAGAAATTTGAAATTAATTTCAGATTAAGTGAAATTGAAGGGAAAGAATTTGAATTTGATTTCAAATTCAAATGGAAAGAATTGAAGTGGAAGAGAGGAATTGTGGGAGAGGGGGTGGCGGCATTAGGAGATGATTAGGGGAGTTTAATTGGGAGCTATTATTTAAATTGGAGAGAGAGAGGTCTAGTGAAAGGGTCGGCCATGTAGAGAGCTAGGAGAGAGGGTATTATGTTAAGTATGTGGGCCCCAAGAAATAATTAAAGATTTAAAACCAAATCTGAATTTAATCTCAGATTTATTTTAAAAGGGAAGGTTTCCAAATTTAAGTTTTAGCATTAGTGAAGCGTTTGAATTTCAAATTTTAATTGAAATCCAATTAGGTAACTTTCCTAATTACTTAGACTTATTTTAGGAAGGTAATTAATGAACGAAGGAATTTGAATTTCAAATTTGGGCAAGAGGGGGCCGACAGCTTGGGTAGAGATTAAGGAGGGTGGGTAGAGGGGAAGGGGCTGACAGCAGAGTGGGTAGTGGCCGGCAGTTGGGTAGCTAAGGGAGGCCGATGGTGGTTGGGGTAGGGGCTGTTTAGGGAGGAGAAGAGGGAGGTTGCAACCAGCTATTGCGGGAGAGATTGGGGAGAGGAAGATGAAGGAAAATAAAAGAGAAAACACAAAACCAAGAGCTCACCCGCCGGTGGGCTGTTGGGTACTCCGTTGGCCTCTTCTAGGCTTCACCACCACTCTCTAGAACTAACACAGAGATCAAGACAAAGCTGAATTTCATTTCAATTATCATCATTCCCCTATTACAATAGATGGGGCCTCAATATATAGGCCTGAAATAAAATAAAGAAAAAACACAAATGCCCCTTGGGCTACAACTCCAATAGACTCAAATAAAAGGGTACAAACGGAACTAGCAAACAAACATAACATAATACATAAATGCATAAAAAATAAAGGCTGTGAATTGTATTCGTCGATCTACGATTTCTACGCCGATAGATTTGTCGAAAACATCTGTCGATGTCCTCATCAACATGCCGGCTTCTTAGCTTTTTCTCTCTATTCACTTAGCCCTGCCCAACAACCTTCTTTTTCTCTTTTCATTTCTCTCCGTTGCTCTCTTCTTTTGTCTTTAATTTTCTTCCTTGAAGGAAAGTTCAAGGTAGAACACAATGATTCTGCTACTAATCTTCATCAGTAGATGTCAGCAGAAAATTGACTGCTTTTCATCGTTGGATTAATATGTTCATATTCTAGTGGTGGAGGATGATGGAAGTTTGCAGAGTATACTTCTAATTGTTGATCCAGAGGGCCTCTATTGGATTAGCTATGGGCATTGATACTTACAGTACCATCTAGTGAGATTTGTTTTTTTGGCTCACGTTTCATATCAGAATTACATGAGGGTTTTCACGACATTTTTCTGAAAATTTTTATTTATTTTTGCTCCGGTTTTTAATGTTTGAGTTTCATATCAGAAGCGTGTGAACTTTTTCATGCCTATTTTCTGAAGTTTTGTGAACTTCTATTTATATTTGCTGCAAATTCACTTGTTATAATTCACCCTCAATAGACTCAACTATAAAATATCAATTGATGAATAGTCATTCAAGTGAAGTTTCTCTTTTTGAATATTTAATTTGTATGCTGTTTCTGGATTTCATTTTTCATGATTGCTCCTTCATATTTTTAAATGAATGGTAGCATCCTCTTTGCAATGGCGTTCTTAGTTTTTTTTTTCTTCTCAATTCAGGCATTTGAATGGATAACTTCTCTAGAGGAAAGTGATCACTTCCATGCTTGTCTACCTTTATGCAATATAGTTCTAAGGGAATGTATTTATAAGCAAAGTATAATTGATGTTGGTCGCTGCTTGGAACTGATGGACAACCAGCTAATGGGAAGGTCTGAGATAACGTATTGGGAGCTTCTCAAGGTTTGTACCAAACTACACATTTTATGGGATGAGGAACTGATTTTGGCAGGCATTAGAAACCTGTTGTCCATATCAACTTCTTCATGCACAGCATGATATGTTTTTCTGTTTCTTAACTTACTACCAAACTAATTCTAATTATTTCATCTATAAAATTTAGATCCAAATACCATTGTGACTTTCTTTTTATTTTTATGTAGAGTTCCTTATGGTAAAAACTCTGTCCCAGTGCTGCTATGAATGTTATTCAGTTAATCAAAATTCTGATTCTTTTTTACTTGATATTCTATCCTTTTTATTCAAGTGTGGTATGCATTTTCCTTTTTTTGATAGAATAGGAATGTTTTATTTGAGATACTACCTATTCAGATTATCATATTTAAAAATATATATAATTCTTTTTCATCGGTTTTTTAAACCTTCTTTAGTTGATATTCTATCATTTTTATTTAAAATAGCTTCATTTGTTATTTTGCAACATTGGTAAGTTTTGTTTGAAATACAAATTATTTTTAAATGATTTGTTGCAATTTATAGTTATGGTCAGCATGTTCGCTAGGATTTTTAAAATAGGGGCATGACCAATACATGAGATTTATTGCATGTGCGGTGTATTGGGAGGGTTGGTATCCGCAATCTTACTTTTGCATTACACACAAGTTGTTTTCAAGACCACAAATTGAGCTAATCTAAACCTTATTCTCAACATGCTCTGAAGTAGTTCTAGATAGAAAATACTTAAAAAAAAACAAATTTTTAGGTTGTTTATTGAAAGAATCTTTGAGAATGAAACTTTTCAAGATTGTACCTCTGTATTTTATAATATTTAATTTTATTCTCAATTATCGATTACTAAATTACATCTGATAGTCATGGTACATTAGATGAAAATTTTGATCCTCTAGTTACAATAATTGATGCTCTTTTATTTTGAAACAAGTTCAGGAACTGAAAGTAGTAAATTATATTGTGCTAAGCAATAATTAACGTCTAAATATTCATTGTTGGACCACGCTATTTCCTACCCAAATTCATAAAGAAACAGGAAGCACACTACAAAATCTTGCATAGGAAAGGAAATCAATTGAGGGAACTTGTATGTTTTCAATTTTTCATTGCTTCACGACATTACAAATTTATCCAATCAAAATTTAGCTCAACAAGAAAATTTATTCAACTCTTGTACAAATTTTGAAGGAATTTCCCAAAGTAGACACCGAATGTATAATATTCTAACAAAATGTATCATGAAACCAACATCATTCCTATATAACATGCATGAAATATAGATGGAGTTGGAATAAATATCACGCTTAAAATTGAAAACATGTTGGCAGGCTGGGAAGGGGAAGGGGGTTTATTAGGTGGTTTAAAATGTTTGAGACTGCAAACTCTTCCAACTCTCAGATGTTAAATGTCGCACATAGAAAAAAAAGGGCAGGATGAGGCGTGAGATGAAGAAAGAAAATGATACTCTGTCTCACTTAACTCTTTAGGCCTTTCGTGCAACTAGAAAGCACGAATTTTTATCAATCATTGTCTAAACTGGTTACATGAACTGGGTACTAATTAAAATACACTGCCAGCAATTAACGGAAACATTTCCGCACACACTCCCGCACCTTAGGTTGAAACATAATTTTTGATTTATTCTTCACTGTGCGTTGTCCCAACTCTTTGGTGGGGTGGTTTCTTAATTGGAATATTCATGAGTCCATGTTATACAAATTTTTTGATAGTCTATACTCGCATACTCAAACGCTGGATGGAGTGTTTCTTGCGACTCTCTTTTTCACTATAGTAGAAATATATCGTTGACTTCTATTATTGACCAAAACCCACTACATCTATCAGACTGCTAATCTCATGAAAATGCTATTGTAGAATTACCTATGTCACTAGAGGAGGATAATATTCTGCTAGCTAAAGGATCCTGTTTATACTATGATCACTCATTAAAGTATACTATCACTTCCCATCAAACTAAATGGGTCACTAATGCTACCCAACCACAAGAAATGATATGTATAAAGAAGTCCATTTGATTGCCACAATATAGGTTCACTAACCCAATGCACAAGTATAATTAAGTCAGTCTAAAAAAAAGAGTTTTAATTGTCCCAATTGATATTGTAGAATGATTGCTTTGATATACCAGAAGAAAGTAAAATTTATAATATTCTTAATGGTATTAATTTGATGCAAATCAAGCAAGCATACTTAAAGATATAATCTTTTCAAATTCATTTTCTAAAGAATAATTTACAGATATATTGGAAATCAAGTTTGTAACTTATTAACCTAATTCATATAACAATACTATTTCTCGTAGCCAAAATTCTAATAAAGGATTAATGATTGTAATTAAGGCTCCCACAGCTCCTATCAACTTTGTTGAGGACCATAGTTGATGTCATTGGTTAAATAGTGATGACTAGGCTACATTTTAACAAGCTTTTGTTGAACACCACTGCCATGACTCTTCTCCTTATCTTTCTCTTTTTACTGGCCATTGGGGACTCTTATGACCTTGACCAATCTCAGTATGATGGGCAATGGCCACAGACAGCCTGCTGACCATACCATTGCCCTTTGTTTGTTGCTCCCCTCAATGACTGTAACAAGGGCTTCAATGAACTCCTTTTTTTTTTTTTTTTTTGTTCTTCTATTTTACTATCAGATTAGAAATTGAGGTGGTCATGGATTGAGAATATAAAATCAAACTTCAAATGTCAATAAATTATCATGAAACATGGATAAATGTTCAATGAAAAAATCTCAGCATCAGAGTGCCAATGTGGATCTCCCTTGAATCTCATCTATGCTGACTGTCATTTTCTTTCTTCCATCATCTCAAGGAAGCCCTCAAATTAGGTCTTAGCATTTTCACCTAAGTCTAGTTATAAGATCTATTCTAACTCTGCTTAGATTGGATAAAATTTAAAATATGTATCTTATCTGAATTTTATCTTAATTTTAATTGAATTGTGATATTTCATAATGCTAATGCCAAATAATTAGGATTATCGTAGCCATGATGATTATGTAACAATTAAAATAATAAGATTCTTCCAATGATTTCAAGTTCTATCTATATGTTCTTTTTGTTCTATAAACTTGTGCAAAGGAATATTATTGATAATATTGGGCAGAACTTGCCTATCTACTAGCATCCCTTTTGCTTTGACTAAATTTTAGAAGCTTAAGAGCATATGCAAATTCTTCATGTGATAATTGAGGTAAAGTATTTTCGTGTTTGGTACCCTTCACGCATCTGCTGGTGTGTATTAAGAAAATTCATGTTTTAAGAGGTTTGGCTCTGGCGGCAAACTACTGTTATACCTTAATCCATTTTATGTGCTTTTTATGTCTTTATGAATTTCCATACGTGCACTCTAGATGAAAATATTGCAGTTTTATAACCTTAAATGAGATGTCTCTTTTTTTGAAAACCCCCTTTATTCGAGGGGACTGTTCAACTGGTCATTGAATTTTTTTTTTTCTAATAAACATAAATATTAGTCTTAAATTGATTTAAAATAACTTGTTTTGGTCTTATTAAGAAATTATCCCAATGGTAATTAATTGTGCAATCGAATTTCTGATTTATATAAAATTGCAGCATTATGTTCTACAAAAAAGCTTGTCTGGAGTTCATGGTTTATGGAAGGATTGCATCAAGCACTACAACCCAAGCATTATCATTCTTAGAAAATTTATTTGGTCCTTCACAAGATTGCATGATCTAGAATCGGCCTACAAACTACTGCAATATATGGTTTCCCTTGTTCAAAGCCGTCACGTCTCTCTCAGAAAATCTGCTGCTGGAAGATATCAATCATCACATTTAGATATCCCTATACCACCAGCTTGCAAATTATCAGATGAGGGTTTTAGGTTGAAGGAAAATCTTCCTTTCGAAACTATGTTTAATGGCAAGTCGGTCAAAGAAGATGATGGCTTCATGGCATTTGATATATCTGGTAAAGCCGGTTGCTCTAGTAGCAGTGTTGTTGACAACCTTTTAACGGTTGGAGATATTGCAGATGAATGTTTTGTGCCTAATACGACAGATGATGTTTTCTCTGGGATCCATGGAAGTGAATTGTTTGGCGAGCCAAAAGAAAAAGGTACTTGTTCTAAAATATCTTCTTCCGTTGCTGCTTGGATTGACAATCAATCTTTTAAGAAAGAGAAAATGATAGAAGTCATAGGCCATTCAACGAACTGCTTACAAAATGATAATTTTGATTATAGCATACTAAAGGAAGCAGAGTTTATACCAGTTTTCAATGTTTTGAGATGGTCGTTCAATGATGTGATACAATACTGCGCTCTATCTAGAACATGGGAGCAGGCTGAGTTCTTGTTCCTTCAGGTATAATTATAACACAATTTTAAGCTGTAGTTTTCAATGCAAGCCCCAAAATTTTACTCATAGCTTGACCAATCCGAACCCACCATACACCCACACAATAACGTGATCTATTTTTTTTGGCTAAAATCTAATGCTGCTGCTTTTTGTAATTTAATAATCATTTTTAGCTTATTCATGGATTAAGTTATATCTAAGAGTGTATCGGTGAAGTACACTTTATCAATGACAACTGAGAATTGGCCTTTATTGTTGTGCTTACGCTAGTGAGTGGTGAGGTAGAATCAGATTTATTGGCTGAGGGATTTGAAATTTTAAATGATAATTTGAGTTGGCTATGGTTGAACTCACAATAGAACAAGAAAACAACAATAAGCTTTTATCCCACTATATGGGGTCAACTACATGTATTTTTTTCTTCCATGTTATTCTATTGAGAGTCAAATTCTCATTTAAATCTAATAAAAAAAGGTCATTTATAATACTTTCTAAACAAGTTTTTTTAAGTCTACCTCTACCTTTCTTAACATAGACCAGGTTTAATAGATTTACTCTCTTAACCGAGTCATTGAAAGGTCGACGTTTTATATGACCAAATCATCTAAGTCAACTCTCACTAATCTTCTTTGTCATTGGAGCTACTTCAACCTTTTCATGTATATACTCGTTTCACATTCTGTCTCTTACGTGTAAAGACGCTCATCCACATGAGCATCCTTATCTCTGCAGCACTTAATTTTATGCTTCTCTTTTAATGATCGACGTTCTGCTCTATAAAGCATTATAGGTCTCAACACCATCTTATATAATTTTCCCTAAAGTTTGAGGGGTAATTTTCTATCACACAATAGGCCCAATGTGTTCCCTCACTTCAACCATCTAACTTGAATTCTATTAATAATATCCCTATCTATTTCACTATTGCTTTGAACAATAAACTCGAGACATCTAAAATATGCACTCTTTTTTAATGACTTGATCGCCCAAAGTCACAATCCCCCCACTAGATCTATTATTAATAAAATTACACTCAATATATTCGGTTTTGGATTTACTCAAACGAAAGCTTTTGGATTCTAAGATTGTGGGCTCCGAAAATTCGGCCTCGGCCTCTACTCGCTTTTCTTATTCGGCGAGGGAGTTTTAATGAACTAAGTTCCGAGGTAAATTTTGGAAGGCAGATGGGTTTGTAGATAAGACACTACCCAGAGATTTCGCCCTCATTTTGCGAGGACTTTATGATATGAGTTCTGGTTTCCTATAGGCGCAAGCCCCTATAGTTAATTACCTCTCCCGATCACGAGAGAGAACTTTCGATTAAGGCTAGTCGTCGATCAGATACGTAGAATATACGTGTTATCTGGCATATAGTAGCAGCAATGGGTTTAGGTATTGGTAGAAATTAGATTTGGGTTTGAGAATTTGGAGAGTTTGCTATTTAAAATAGAAATTGCACCATCTAGCACTTAAAGCGGATGGTGGGGGAATGGATGATAGACCCGATCAAGATCCCATGGTTCCGTCGTCCTGGGCCATCGTGGTCCCTGGTCTACTTAGTCAGAGGAGGTAGTCGGCCCAACCTGACAGAAGGATCCTTGTCGGCTGCCATGGGTTGCTTCGTCCAAGGAGACCTTGTAGACCGGGGTTGAATGTTTGTCTAAGGGGATAAATTTGAATCCACCTTAGCTAACAGAGGGCTTTGTGCCCTATCGATCATATCCTATTGATTCATATCTCAAGGATTTAACGCCATTAAGGAGCGTATTGGCTCTGGCCATAACCGCTATCTGTGGTGCCATTTGGCGGCAAAACCACTCGGTTCAGAGGGCCCCGGGTCATAACCGTTTACCTGTAGTGCCATTTGGCGGCGAAACTGCGTTGGAGATAAGGCTAAGGAAATTGATAGTTTAGGATTTAAACTTTGGTATTCGGGTAGGAGTCGTACTAGAAATGGTGTAGGTGTTATTATAGATAAGAGTTTAAAGGATAATGTTATAAAAATTAATAGGATTGGAGATAGAATTATAGCTTTAAAGATTGTTGTTGATGATAAGATTGTTAATATTATAAGTGCTTATGCTCCTCAAGTAGGTTTGGATATGAGTTCTAAATTAAATTTTTGGAATGACTTAGAAGAATTAATACAAAATATACCTCTTGAAGAAAGAGTTTTTATTGGAGGAGATTTAAATGGACATGTTGGTAGAGAGGTAGATGATTTTAAAAGCATTCATGGTGGCCATGGATTTGGAACGACGAATGAAGGTGGCAAGACCATATTGGATTTTTGTTTAGCTTATGATTTTTCAATTGCTAATACCTTATTTAAGAAAAGGAATGAGCATCTCATCACTTATAAAAATGGATGTAGTACAACCCAGATTGACTATTTTCTTATTAGAAAATTAAACCGTTTAGATTGCAAAGATTGTAAAGTTATTCCGAGTGAAAGTTTATGTACCCAACATCGATTATTAGTTTTGGACTTTAAGATAAAGGGGCATAAAATAAAAAATAAAGTAAAACAATTTTCTAGGATTAGATGGGGGCATTTAAAGAATATTAACCAAAATATTTTTGTGAGTAAGATTTTAGATCTTAAGATTTTGTCTGTGCATGAGGATGCTAATATTATGTGGGAAAAAGTGGCTAGTGATCTTAAGAATATTGCAAAAGATGTCCTTGGAGTATCAAAGGGAAAAGCTCCTAATAGTAAAAATAGTTGGTGGTGGAATCCTAATGTGCAAGAAAAGATAAAAAATAAGAAGCTTTGTTATAAAAATTGGTTTAATTTTAAAAATTCCGATAATTGGGAAATATATAAAGTTGCTCGTAAGGATGCTAAGAAAGCCATATGCGATGCAAAGACATTAGCTTTTAGCGATTTATATAATAGATTAAATACTAAGGAGGGAGAAAGATATATGTATAAGTTAGCCAAACAAAGAGATAGGAGTAGTAAGGATTTAGTTCAAGTGAAGTGTATTAAGGATGAAGATCAAAAAATACTTTTCTTAGAAGATGATATTCAACAAAGGTGGATGAGATATTTTGCTAAACTTTTTAATGAAAATTGTGATAATAAGATTGACTATAGTGACCTTAGCACCCTAAATGAAAGTAAAGATTTCTGTTTTTATCGGCGTATTAGTAAAACTGAAGTTAGAGAGGCTTTAAATAGAATGAAGGGTGGAAAAGCTGTTGGACCTGATGATATTCCAATAGAGGTGTGGAAATGCTTAGGAGATGAAGGGATTTCTTGGCTTACTAAACTTTTTAATACTATTTTGAAGACTAAGAAGATGCCAGATGAGTGGAGAATGAGTGTGTTAATTCCTATTTTTAAGAATAAAGGTGATGTACAAGATTGTGCGAATTATAGAGGTATTAAGTTAATGTGTCATACTTTAAAACTATGGGAGCGAGTTTTGGAGCATAGGTTGCGGCGTGATACTAATGTTTCTCAAAATCAATTTGGATTCATGCCGGGTAGGTCGACTATGGAAGCCATACATTTATTAAGAGGTTTGATGGAGAAATATAGAGAAAATAAGGAGGATCTACATATGATATTTATTGATTTAGAAAAAGCATATGATAAAGTTCCAAGAGAAGTGCTATGGAGAGTTCTTGAAAAGAAAGGGGTTAATAATGCTTATATTCAAATCATTAAAGATATGTATGCAGGAGCTATTACTTGTGTTCAAACACAAGGTGGATTGACCAAGTATTTTCCTATTTCGGTTGGGTTACATCAAGGATCAGCCTTAAGCCCATATCTTTTTGCTTTAGTCATGGATGTTCTCACTAGACATTTGCAAGAGGATGTACCTTGGTGTATGCTTTTTGCTGATGATATTCTTCTTGTTGATAAGACTAGAGAGGGTGTTGAAGGTAAACTTGAATTATGGAGGTCAACCTTAGAGTCTAAAGGTTTTCGCTTGAGTAGATCTAAAACGGAATATATGGAGTGTAATTTTAGTAGTAATAGACCTAGTGAGGGGATTGTGACTTTGGGCGATCAAGTCATTAATAAGAGTACACGTTTTAGATATCTTGGATCTATTATTCAGAATGATGGTGAAATAAATGGGGATATTATCAGCAGAATTCAAGTTGGATGGTTGAAGTGGAGGAATGCATCGGGCTTGTTATGTGATAGAAATGTACCCGTCAAACTTAAGGGAAAATTCTTTAAGATGGTAGTGAGGCCTACAATGCTTTATGGTGCCGAATGTTGGCCATTAAAAGAGAAGCATAATACTAAGTTAAGTGTGGCAGAGATGAGGATGCTCAGGTGGATGAGTGGCTTTACCCTTAGAGATAAGATACGAAATGAGCATATACGTGAAAAGGTTGGAGTAGCTCCAGTAGAAGATAAGAATAGAGAGAGTCGCCTTAGATGGTTTGGTCACATAAAACGGCGGCCTTCCGATGACCCGGTTAGGAGAGTAGAGGTATTAGATTTGACTTATGTTAAGAAAGGTAGGGGTAGACCTAAAAAGACTTGGTTAAAAAATATTAGGAATGACCTTTCTTTATTAGATTTAAATGAGAATTTGACTTTTAATATGACACAATGGAGAAAAAGGATTCATGTAGCCGACCCCACGTAGTGGGATAAAGGCTTGATGTTGTTGTTGTTGTATTCCTTTTTGTTTGTGATCCAAATGCCATGATTGAAGCAAAAATATGGAAGAGGGAACTTTCAACACGAATATAAAATATGATGCAAAACGATGTTGTGGAAGGCCTTATGTGTCAAGATGTCTTGTTTTTAAGATATTATAAATAAAAAAGACGATTAAATGCTAAATAAAATAGATAGAAGATGAATTCAGATTAAAAATGAAAACAAAATAATTGTATCTATGAGTCACATTTCCATTGGTTATTCTTTAACCCAAACGCATTGAATTCAATGGTCTTCACATCCAAGGTAAATATTATTTAATATTTCATTAAGCGTACTTACATGGCATAATAATTTTAAAGAATTTTTGTTTAAATAGATCCTCAAACAAGCTCACTAATCAGTAGTGATTATCTAAAATAGCTATGATAAAAGTAAAAATTTCTAGGAAGTTCAGCTGATGTAAAATGATTTAAATAATCATGGGCAAATATTAGCATGATCTTGCCCACATCTGTTTCTTTATTTATTGTTCTTGACTAAATTCTTGGTTTCATACTCTAAAGAGGTTGAAGTTACTTTGTTAAGCATTCCTTCTGAACTTGCTCATTTAATTGGCTAAAGAGTTCATATATGATGTTATGAAAGGCATTAGATGTTGGAAGGTTTTGGAGGAGAGAGTTTAAGGATTAGAGAGTGAGAGATTCCTTATTATAATGGGTGAGTGATTTCCTAATATAATAAGTGAGTAAATCCCTAAGTTATGAGTCAATCCCCACTTAGTATGTGTCATTTTTCTTTCATAGTAATGAAATCCCTATTCCTATCTATTTGCAATTAGGGACTACATCAAATTAGTGTGAGAGTAAGTTTTTCCATGCCTTGGCTTTGATTGACCATGATGCTGGAGATGCTTCACTAGATATCAAACCTAAAGTCAAGTTTAATTCATGAAGCAGATAATGGCGAGGCATTCATTGAATATTTTTCATGCTTCCCGACCACCACTTAACACTCACCAACCACCTCATTTAAGTGAGCTCTCCAATCACAACTAACACCATCAACATCCTCCATTTATTGGCCACACAAGTTTATATTTGATATTATGAAAGGATTCATACATGGAAGGGTTTCAGAGAGTATTGTAAGGACGTGGGAGTGAGAAATTCTTCTTATTTGGTTGATCCATTTGGCTTTACAATTTTCCAAATTTGTTGTGTGAATCCCCATAGTTTATTGTGAGTGCATCTCCCCCTTCCAATTTATCTTTCCTACTAATGAAAGCTCCTTTTCTATCTACTTGTAATTATGCTTCTTTGTCTTAGCTACATCACTTTCTGTTTGGTCTTTTATGTTTTTGTCTTGATCTGCTTGAGAAGGGGCTACTCCTAATGTGGAAATTACATATCAAGGCTTGTTTATTGAATCATTATTTATTTTTATCAAACTAATTTAATTATTTCAAATGGTTTTCTAGATGCAAGCACTTGGAGTAGAACCATCGCCTCATACATATGATGGCCTTATTAAGGCTGCCACTCAGGGAAGAGCGCTAGCTTATGGCTTGGAATTGGTATTTTCTCTTTATTACTTACCTTCAAATTCTGTTTAGAGAAAAAGTGAACTATTAAGATGAAAAAAATGAGGAAATCATTTTGTAATTGGTTTTTCTTCTGGAAAACTTGAACAAACCTCTAGACTATTTATCATAGTCTTTTATCATGTGGTAATGTTGTCTGTTTTGCAGATTAATTCAATGGAGAGAAGGGGCATGAAGCCTTACAATGATACTATTGCAAATCTGTCAGTTGAACTCAGCAAGATTTTGGAGTTGAAGAAGGCAGAGAGTTTATTGGAAATGATCTCTGATAGCCATCAGAAGTACATCCATCCCTTCAATGCCTTTTTGGTCGCATGTGATATCATGGTAATTCATCAAATGGGTCTTTTGTTGTGTATGGCATAAAATGTTTTTATTTAATTAACTGAAACCTAAGTGGAAGTTGTTTATACTGTTTTGCCTAGCATGTGTTATATATATAGTCAACAATGAAACTTGCAGATATTCTTGCTGCAGTTATCATCAATATATGGTGTTTTTTATTTTGATTTAGAATATTTATGTTTTCCCGATATACTCGGAAGTTGCCGGTTTATTGTGTCATTATGCCGTCTTGCAGGATGAACCTGAACGTGCAGTTCGCATCTTAGTTAAGATAAAGTGTTTGAATATAAGGCCAAATATCAGGACTTTTGAGCTTTTATTCTCTTTGTTTGGTAATGTCAATGCCCCCTATGAGAGAGGAAATTGGCCTTCACATATGCATGCTGCAGAGAGGATAAGACACATAGAGATGGGCATGAGGAGAAGCGGAGTTCAACACAGCTATACGTCAATGAAGAATCTGGTAACATCATCATCTTCATGCATTTGCATGGTAAACACATGTTGCATTTTTTTTGGGAATTCGAAGAAAATGTATAAGTTCCGTTCTAATTGCTAATTATGCAATTTGAATTAGAATGAGGTGAAAGTGGAATATGAAAGCAATGCGCATAGGCTTCAATCCTCAATCCCAATGGTAGAAGGGACACGTAGCAACACTGGCAACAACTACAAGGATAAGAGGCAACCCAAACTTGCATTGTTCAGTGTTGAACATTGCTTCTAGGGTACATTAATTGCATTCGCTTGCATGGATCTGCCTTGTTCTCAAAAGATGAAAGATACACAGTTTATTATTTGAATGGTTCAGTTTATTAGTTTTTGAAATCATTATTCATGAAGTTTCTGGTTACATAAGGAAATTGTTAAAAATTCATCATACATTTTGTGCCATAAGCTACACCAGAAAATAATGCAGTGGCCCAAGATCCTTGATAGAGAATTGTTGGGTAAGAAGGCTGATAAAACATTGCATGATAGTGTTAGAGTTACATGTGATAATGATGTCATTAACAAAAACTATATGATAGATAAGTTCATCACTACTCCTTAGGATAAAGGTGTATGTATCATCCATAGAGTAGGTGAGGCTAGAAAAGACTAGAAACTATTGTAGCTCATGGTATCAAGCACGGGTGCTTTCTTGCAGCCATAGATGACTTTATGAAGCTTATAAACATATGTAGGTAGTCTTGTTAATGATACTTGGGGGTTTGGCAATGAAGAAATCCATATAGAGATGGCCTTGGAAAAAGGCTTTGTTGACATCAAGTTCATGAACAGACCACTCTCGATTTACAAATATACTGAGATCTAGCCAAATGGTGGCAGGCTTGACAACTAAACTGAAGGTATCATGTTAGTGAACTCGTGGCTAGTGTTGAATATTTTCAACCACTAATTAAACTTTGTACCTATCAATTGAGTATTCAGAGTCATATTTGATCTGAAAAATACACTTGAATCCGATCAAGTTTTAAAAAGAGGTGGGGCAAAAAAATTCTCATGTTCCATTCTGAACATGATCATCATATTCATTTAACATGGCCTTAGTGGAAGAACTAGTCTCTCATTTAAAGGTGGATAAACTTAACATGCAACTAAATTAATATTTGAAGAAATAAAATGAATAATATATGATTTAAAAAAAATCTTGTATGCTATTGTGATTGATGAATTGAGTAATGTTTCAAGCCTATCAACTTATTTACATATTTTAATAATATTGTTAAATTATAACTTCATTGGAAATTAAATCAAACACTAATTTTTTCAATGTAAGATACTAGACAATCGTTGAGCCAGTCATAATCTATCATACGATGCAATCGATGTTTGATAATTCTCATCGTAGAAAATGCTCTATCCATTGTAGCAGGAGCAACTGGTAAAATTAATGTTAAAGTAATAAACTATAAACAGGAGATACACACCATCCTCATTTATCTTAATAATTTATTTATAAAATTTGCAATAATGTTTAAATATGAGAACTTATCAATAGTACGTATATCAATAATATAAGTGTATATCTGATGTTTAAGATATTGAAACTTGATGCACCTTGGTATCAAAAAGAACAACAAACTCCAAGAGATTCAACAAAAAAAAAAAAGATTTATATTGATAGAAAACCAAATACGAACAAAGCAAGATACAATGGTCCTCTTTCAAGAGGAGGATCTTCTCTTTCAAACCCTAGATGCTATTAGGATCTCTCACAAAAAGAAAACTACATCACTCTCAAATCAAATTTTTCATACAAACATAACATAAATCCTACTACTTATGGCAAACAATAAAACAACAAATTTCAAAATAGCCATCCCCCAATTCCCTCTCAAATGAACCCCCAACCTATCCTCTTTAATTAGGAACTATCTCATAATTAATCTCCTCCAATTCAGCCCCAAATCTGCCCTTTTTAATTAGGAAATATCTCTTAATTAATCCTTTTCAAATTTGCCCCTTTTAATTAGGAAATATATCCTAATTAATCATTTCTTTAATTCCTCTTATCACATATATAATGACAGGTTTAATGGGCCCCACAAAGGAGGTTGACTCCCTTACCCTTCCCGCCCTTGACATGCTGCCCTCTATCATATCAATACTCCCCTCCCCAAAATTCATGGCTTTCTTCACTTGCTCAGTTAGTGGCTATGCTATTGTCCACTGAAACTAAGCTAGAGCTTTCCCCTCTAGTCATAGCTCTGCAGTCGTAAACTTCTCCTCATTCAACCCATTCACCATGAAATATATTTTTACCCAGTACACCCACCCATAGGCATCCTCCCATTCAAATATTGGTATCCTTAACTTTCTCACCCTAGGATCGCTACCACCCTAATAGGTTCTTCCTCCTTCAGTGTAGCGGTTGTCATGATCCTTCCATGTTTCCCCTGTGTATCGAGGGTGCAACTCCCATCTTTCTTCCATATGTTCTTGCATAATATAATCCCATGGTTCAGCTCGACCCACTCCATATGTGGTCACCCACTACCCTTGCCCAAAATGCCTCCTATAATGGTCGGCCACTCCACCTCCACCACATAATTCCCTCCTCGTTGTTTCCTCTTTTGAAAACCTTGATCCACCCTTTATTGGAGCTCTAGGAGGAGGCTCTTGATGGACAAAACTCTACTCATCGAACCCTTTTTGTCCGATCTCCTTTCCCTTAGATTCAGCCAAGAGAATCCCGGTGAAATCTTGGTTAGGGTTAATAATTAGAATCCCTTGCCCTTCTCTCCCCTGGCATGCTAGGGGGCTGAATCCCTACAAAGGGGGCCGAATCCTTTGCCCTTTCCGCCCGTGGTATGCTGCCCTCTTCTGAATCAAAATCACTTGGATATAACTCCACAAATTAGTTTCTTCTTACTATTAACAAAGAATGAATTACTTGAGTTTAAGCACACCACATAGAAACAATTAAGAACTAAATTAAAAAAAAATGATTTTTTAGCTCTTGAAGTTGCATATCAATTATAGTATAAAAAAACTTAACACAATAATGATGCAGATTTGTTATTTCTTCACCACTTAGTTCTGATAATTGTTAAGACTTGTATTTATTATTCATATTTGAAATATTAATTACAAAAAAATTTATAAAAGTATAACGGTTCATCCAATAAAACATTTAATCTATTCTACTTTATTATATACAATAATTATTTAGATATTTGCACCAATTTTATCGCATTGTCAATGTTCTGATCTTTTTTTTGTAATGATTGTGATAACTCATTTGTTATCTCTAAAAAGTTAATCATCAGATTGAATGCAAAAATAAAATTATAATATTCAATTTCTTCAATTAGCACATCTGCTTCAGTTGATTGTTGATTATGTATCTCATCGTTCTTAACCATCTAAATGCAACATCTTTTTTTATGTTATATTCAAACAATTTTGAATACTCTTCAAACCATTTTAAATTAAAAACCTTATAGCAATTTTTCAAATTAGTGTTTGTGGAAAATTATAATTTTTTGGTTGATAGGACCCCTTTACCAAATATACTATTAAGTCTATCTCTCTCATTAACACTATAACTCTAAATTGAATGTCAAAGCCTAGGGTCAATTAGAAGATTATAACTATTGTTAAAGAGAGATAATTATAACATCAAAGGTCCCTTTGACCTTCGATTTGGAGTTATGATATCAATAAGAGAGATAAAGTTAGAAAAGTATTTGATAAAGGGGTCCCAACAGACAAAAAATCATAATTTTTCAAACAATATTTGAAAATTGTTGTTTGAAAGTTTAATTTAAGAAGGGTTGAATAATATTCAAAATGGTTAGAAGATAACATACAAAAGTATGCTATTTTATCTATTTTGTTATCTATTTAAGCCACAGTAATAGAAAATTATATGTCAAAGTGGTGGTGATTCATTTATTAGTAAAGGATTCCAAATTGAAAGATAAAGCAAAAAACTATTAACTCATGTTAGAGATTATAATAATATCACAACAAAATAAGGCAAACATAATAGTGCTCACAACAAAGTTAGAAGATTATCTTAAATGGTTGGAATGCAACGTACAAAAAAAAATTTATATTTTATATATACTGTTATTTATTCAAAGCCACAATAGATAATTATAGGTCAAGGTCGTGGCTACTCATTTGTTGGTAAAAGATTACAAAAATAAAAGATAAAAGAGAAATTATTAGTTCGTGTTGGAGATCATAATGGTGCCCACAACAAAGCAAGACAAAAATATAAAGATTTGGTACTTCCTAAGCACAGAGTATTCCCATTTTTTGACTAAATAATAATGACAAGAATAAAAAAAAGAATATCCAATCATGTTGATCGAATATGTTGATTTTGTTAGATTCTTTCAAAGTTAAAGTTTTATATTTCATGATCATGATGAGTCACCTGATTATGATAACCAAAATAATTATTTATAAAAACTTTTTTTCCTAATCAAAATGAAGAGATCAATAAAGTTAGATTTAAAAATATTAGTGCAAAATTGAAGTTGACTTTACCATAAGTTGAGAAAAAATCTACTATGCAACAACTTTTGAAATATTAGCTTCTATCATGAATGATATTGATGATTTTTACTTTGTCATTTTCATTGACAATGCTCGTAATGTGTCAACAAAAGAACTTGTGACAGTGGCTGTGAGATATATTGATAAGAAAAGACAAGTCATTGAAAGATTTGTTGGTATTAAACATGATTCTTCAATTAATATTGAAGTAGTTAAAGTATCAATTAAAGCAATATTTGTTAAGCATTTATTGAGTTTACATAAGATACGTTGTCAAGATTATGATGGGGTATCTAATATACGAGAGGAGTTTCATGGTATGAAGACACTTATTTTTAATAATAATCTCCAAGCATTTTATATTCACTATTTTGCCCATCAACTCCAATTGTATTTTGTAGCTATAGCAAAGATTCATTAATAAATGAATCATTTATTTGATTTTAT